TCTTGACATGGAAACTGAATTGGTCCATATTCCGAAAAAAAATGTTCCAAAGTGAGTTCAAACACATCATTATTGTCACAGAATTTTTCAAAAGATAATTCAACAGCAGATAATATGTTGAAAACAAACACATTTGGATGAGTTAAACCACCTTTGGACTTCAGATTTACCAGTGTAGCTTCTGGTTTATCCAAGTATGATGTTTTACCTAGAAAAAAAATTTAAGTATTAAATTATTTTTAATTTTACTGTATTATAGAACTGACCCATTACTGCTGTTCTGCAAACATCGCAAGTAAAATTTTTAGTGAAATTTTTTGTTATATATCCACATATATAATAAATAACACAATCTTTGGCTCCAGCGTTGTAGTAGTTATGTATATTATTATCAAAAACATTGTCTATGCTGATCTCTTGTACAGCCAGCAAATCCAGTTTCTGTTTTAAGGATTTCAACTTTTCTTCTYGTTCATTTATTATTTTATTGTTAAATACAGTTTTTAAATCACTAATACTTATTTTTGTTGTATTAGTTTCTAAAATCTTACAATTACCAGTTTTTGGAGGTTTTAAGATAGAGTATACAGACAACATCTTATATACTTGCAAAAATGTTGCTGTACACGGGTGATCGTTAGGCCCGTTAACTTGTCTGGCCATACCAAAGAATTGCTAGTTAAAAAAAAAAAAAATTAATAAGGTTAAAAAAGAATGTTAAGCAACAATTAGTTATTAGTCGAGTTTACTTCTAGTCGGTCTTGATTGAATTTAGAAGACAATACATATTTAAATTTGCAGYTTTCCAGAAGATATGTAGATAACTCTATTGTTGAAGTAATTGTGACTCGTAAACCTTCTGCTGTAGATTTCGTTAAATATTCTTCTTTTGATATTTTTTGTCTAATTACTTGATCCTCCCAATTATCCAACCATAATAGAGTATCTTCTAAAACCTTGTTTCATAAATCAAAAACTCAATAATTAAATCAATAAAATATGTAACATCATATATATTTATGATTAAAACATTATGTAATGCAGTTCTTCCCAATTAGTGTGAAGCCACGGACCTCTAGCTATAACTTTTCTTATTTTACTTACATTTAATGTACGATTAATTTTAATATTACAAACCTTTTTGTAGACACACATTTTCTCAAAAAGATTTATTTAATTCAACACTTGATTTTACATAGTTATTTAAACATTATAAAATATTATTACAAAATTATTGCAATTATCTTTTACAWTTTAATTATGRGTTAACTTAAAATAAAAATATCATTAGAGTACAATATCTACACAACCAATTGGGAACCACTGATGTAATGAGTGAATAAAAATACTTCAAAGTCTTTGCTTTTCATTTTTATCCCTTCCTTAGGATGTTTTCTATTAAAGGTGTCAAATAATTTATTGAAACGGTCTGTGAACTGTTGAGTTTCATTACTATTTTTCAAACTATCAATTTTAATATAATCCCTGTAAAACTCAATACCTTTGGCCATCGAGTCACTTAAAATCTAAAAGTTAATATTTTTGTAAAAAACTAAACTTAATGTGTCAACATAAAAGATAAACATTTGTACTTATCTTCAAGATTTTTAATCTAAGTATATTTACTTGAGTGRCAAGTTTAACAGACATTTTGCTAAAATTATCAGGAGCTAAATGTCTTTCAGTAATTCTGGGACAAACTCTTGAAGGAGCATTAGAACTTCTATTCATATCACACTTATACACCTCAATATAATGAGCCCATCTAATGTATGGTGCTTCAGGTGTGACCTACAATAATGTTATGAAAAAAAAGATTTTAAAAATTATAATGAAAAGTTTTTATGTTATTTACCCTTAACCCTTTTTTGTGATATAATCTGTTTCGCACATTCTTTATAAGATGACATGCATCAGAAAATACAAAAATTTGCCTGTGATCATCTAAAGGGTGATCAAATTTGTTTTTCACGGAACCTTTCTCCCCACTAATACCTAGTTCAGATCATAGTTTTCTGTTACTACTAGCTCCATCTGATACCAATCCATCCACTATTGCACCAGCATTTTCTAACAAACTGATGGCTTTAATTATCAATTGAGTCAGAACTACACCTAAAATAATTAAT